CATATGGTGGGGGGGTGGGGGGGTCAGACGGGATGAACCCATAAGACTCCCATATGACTGGATCGTTGTCTCCGTAGATGGACAATTTGCACAACGGCGAGATCATACTGCTCGAGAGGACACAACCCAATGGCGACCTCAAGTACTCATCCAGCCAACACATTCATACCCACCACATGCATCCATATGGCTTACCAACTCTCCCTCCCCACCACCTCTGTCAGGCCCGCCCACCCCCTCCGATGGCGTACCTTCAAGCCCCCTGCCAGCCGTGTCATTCGGCCCCCCCTTCCGCCATCTGCAGGGCGGGACCAATCACGACGGGCGACGGCAAACGACCCACGATGTTCGCGGACTCTCTCTGCGCCGGACATCCACTCCCAGGAGGTTCCCACTGACTCCACTCAGCTCAAGGACGAGAGGAAACAAAACAGCCGGGACATCGGAGCAGAGGAGAGGGCGGCCCCAGCCACCGCAGCCACCCCAGCTGCTGCGCCAGACCAACAAGCCAACGAGGAACCAACGGCACCACCGGCACCAGCAGCACAAGCAGGAGGCGTCATGGACGGGCAGCTGGAGAGCAGTCGGCAGGAGGAGCAAGAGCAGCCGTCGGCATCCCCTCTCGTTGATGAACATGAGCAGGAGCAGCCCTCCGACCACCATCATCCCCCCGAGCCGCCCAGCCACACGGACGAGCACGAGCAAGGGAGGGAGGCGGGGCGAGATGGGGCTCATGCTTCCATCGGCGGATCGTCGTCGTTCTCGTCCTCGCTCTCCCTGACGATCCTGACGGCGCCGACTGCGCCATGGAAGATGGCGACGATGCCCGCATCTGCGTCACAGCCGAGGAGCCCCTCACGTGCACAAACAGATGGCAGCGAAGGGCGGGAGGGTGAGGGTGAGGGGGATGCGGGAGAGGCTGGGGAGCCTGGCTGACATTCGCTGTCACTGTTGTCTTGGATGTTGTGAGCTTCTGATATTATGGTGATACCCACATATAGGATGGAGGGATGGGGGGTGAGTTGCCTGGATGGGCGTATTTTTTTCGACAGATGTATTGCGGGCAACTCACGGACAGATGTATTGCGATTTCTCTCAGTGATTTCCCCTCGCTGATTGATAGAGAAAAAGAGTTCAGAGCAGCCAACAAGCAGACCGTATCGTACCATGGCCTGCCACCACTCCAGCGACACGCACACGCGAAGAAAAGGAAAAAGAAGCATACGACGGCCGAGATCGAGCTAGAAACCACGACATCCATTCATCCATCCATCCATCCGTCACTTGCGCAGCAATATCACATCACAGCCAAACGCTGACTCACGTCAGCCACCCACGCAATCGGCGTGAGCCCGTCTTCAGTCACGGCAGACCAGAAAGGCTTGAACGGAGGGCCGGAAGGAGGACGGGGCTTGGAAGACATAGTGAGCGAGTCCCTGTCACTGTATGGTGCACTCGAGAGTCCTGATGCCGACGGTCTCGCCCTCACCGCCGCCCTCCGACCCCCGACGAGTAGCTGCCGCCACCAGATGCCTGGCATACCACAACGCCACATCCACAAAGGGGGCATGCACATGAAAGGATGCAGGGACGGACAGGCATGGTGCATGCGCTCCTTACTGAAGGACGTGGGGTGACAGGTCGCGTAAATGAAGTGTCTGCATGGACTCACGGTCCATCAGCTCCTGGTTGCCCCGCACCAGCTGCTCCAAACCGTCACCCGACTGGAGATACATACGCAATACACACATCCACACATGCACAGTGTGCACACCTGTATGGGAGTCTTCTGCGTATGTTCCTGCCTCTATTAACTTACGATGTGAAAGGGTGCGGGACTGGTGGGTCGCCAGATCTGGACGTAGTGATCGATGCCTGCTGAGGCCAGCATGCAAGTGCGGGGGTGCACCTGCACACAATTGACCACATCACTGTGGCCCTTGAGCACAGTCAGCAACGATCCTGCATACATCCATCCAAAAACAAACAAATACAGCCCCAGATGACCAACCATCCCGCATTTCTTTGCATCATTTTGTAGATGCTCACCGTCTGCGGTGCTCCAGACCAGAATGGCACCATCGTCGCTGCCCGAGAGCAGCGCCTTGTCGCCCCAGAATGCGCACTCCTTGATGTCTGTCCTCGAGTTGCAGTGGCCCGAGAACCTGCCGACAGGCATACGCGTACAAATCCGGCAGCCAAGTCGATGCAACCAGGAGTCTCGGTCAGTATTTGATGAGATATCACCTGACGGCCCGGCCCCTCGGCCGCCAGTCGACGTCATCCAGAGTGCTGAGCCACGAGGGTCCTTCCGGATCTGTCGGCGACTCCTCATCTTCCTCTGTCTCGTCTTCATCCTCTCCCTCGTCACCACTGGCTTCGTCGCCCCACCCTTGCCCATCACCATCACCGCCGCGCACACGGGACGACAGCTCGATGAAGCGCAGCGTCGTGCGGCAAATGCCGGGGCGCACGGGGCTCCTCTGGCCCTCCTCGCTGCTGCTCCCACGATCCTGTTGCTGACCATGCTCCTGCCCCTGCCCTTCTCTTTCTCCGCCCAGCGCCCCCTCCATCTCCACTTGCATCTCGATGCCGCTGCTGCCCTGATCCTGCTCATGTTCACGGTCCACAGATGGGGTGATGCCCTGCTGGCCGCCGTCGACGGGGACGATGGCCAGCTGGTCGGCCCCCTGCTGATGGTCCGCATCGGCATCGGCTGATGTGTCAGTTTGTGATTCCTTCTTGCGTCGCCGGAAGATGCGGTGGCGCCATCCACCGAAGGCCGGGATGGCATAGCGATAGCAGGACGAGAGGACCGGGTGCAGCCAAGTGGGGTCCGTGGCCTCCTGCTGCTGGTCGGCCTCTACACACCTCTCGCACGGGTCACCTTCGTCCAGCGCTTTCAACTCCTCGTCGAGCGAACTAGCCCCCCTTGCACTCTCTACCCTGCTGTCAGCGCTGCTCGCCGCCTGCGTCTCGGCAGAGGAGGAGGCCACCCTCCCGTCGGTGCTCTCACGCCCCGCACCCTCCGTGTCGCACACCCGCTGCTTCTTGTTGACGCCGCCCTCCTCCTGGCTGCCGGCCGGCGACCGGGCCTCATCAGACGCACGCTTCGGCGCCCCATCCAGCGCCAGCTGGCGCAGCGCCGGGCTGACGGTGGCCTTGCTGAGGTCGTCTTGTGCTGCGGGAGGGGGAGAGGGGGAAGGGCCGGTCGCACTTGTGTCGTCCTGCATTGCCTGAGGACCTGATAGCGACGCTGCTGGTGTTGGAGATGGATGTGAGGGTAGCGGTAGGGGTTCGAGTGAGAGCTCCTCCTCTTGCTGTGAGTCGTCCTGGCCGGTGTCATCCTGCTCAGATGAAGATTGAGATGAGTCAGTGCTGGACGAAGCGTCGGGGTTGATCAGAAAACGGGTGGCGAACACACGACGACGCACCTACATGCATGTACAGTTGCACGCAGAGGGGAATGGTCTTTGCATGCTTCTGTACATGTATGTGCACGTCTCACCACTGCCCTGCTCTCCTGTTGCCCCTCTCGCCCCTCCTCTGTCTCGCCACCGTCCCCCTCTCCACCACTACGCCTCTCCTCCGCTGTGCCGCCCTCTCCTTCGTGTGATGGGGACGCACCATTCCCATCATCATGACCCATTGCTGCCTCTGGTGCTGGTGCTTGTGGTGGTGGTCCGGGGGAAGCACTCTCCTCCTCTCGTGACGGCTGTGAGGGCTCCTCAGGAATGGTGTCTGGCTGGTCGTCGGGGCGGCTGATGACGCGGGGCATGCGTATTCGCCGGTGTCGCTGCCGCAGTGCCACCTTCTGCCGCTCCCTCAGCTGGTGGTCTACGGCCGCTGCGAACGTTTGGAACTCCTGAACGTGGGGAAATCTCTGTGCGGCCTCCCGAGCCAGCCTCAGAGACAACGCTGTCTGACCGGCGTTGCGGCACCCCTGCATCCGCCTGTCAATCCACATCACACCGATGCACAGATTGTGTGCCGGATTGTGTGCCTTCCCGCCATCTCTCACCTGTAGAGGCTCTTGTAGTTGGTCCTGTCCATCTCGTGTGCCTCAGCGCCGTCACACGCAGCAGACAGCCCGTCCCCACGGCCGCCACGGCGGATGAGGGCCAGCGCACGGTTGCATAGCAGAGGAACGAGGACCTCCACGCCAGCATTGCGAGACCGTGCGATGCGCAGGGCCGCCGTGTACCGCTCGATGGCGGCGCTGAAGTGCAGCTGGCTCACTGATGGATGCATAAGGTACCAACAGGACATCGTATCATTCAAATTGTTCAGGTGCTGGATGGCGCCGTCTCACCCAGTTCGTTGCCTTGCCTCTGCAGCGTCCGCACGAGCTCAAACTCGTCATCCGGCATGTTTGCGGAGTCCCCTTTGCCGTTCGAAGCACAGCCCAACCTCTGAGGTCCGTCGGTTGAGTCGCCTGCCGTCTGCTGGCCAAAGGGGAAGACGTACAGCTGCTCGGCGCTGTAGCTAACAGCGACCTGCCGACGTAGTCACGATGGAATTATGAATCCAGATGGGCCGTGCCTGCTTTGCGTACCTGTTTGCCATCCGGCCGCCAGGTCACGTGTGTGGCGAAAATCAGGTGCCTGGAGGTCGGCCGGCCCCTCCCCGTCTGCTCGAATGGGGCACTCCACAGCTCCCTCGGGCACAGGATGTCACATGGGGGTGCGCTCTCGTGCAGTGGGGTGCCCTGCAGACTGTGCAGCGTCATCTTGCGCCGATCGTAGATGCGCACCAGAGGATCAGACGCCCCCACTGCGATGTACTCCGGGCGTATGGGGTGCAATGCGATGCTCTTGACCTGAGCGCGATAGACGATAAAGACTCACAGATGGGCATCTACCGTCATGCCCCTCATCTCACCTCTCCACTGGTGGTCCGCTGCCATTTCATCTCGTCGAGTATTCGCGTCAGGCGACGAGCTCGTTCGCCCTCTGACAGTGAGTACCAGTGCTTTCGCAGCAGGCGCTTCCTGGTGCCATCTGTCGGTGGTGCGATTGATGACGGGTCTGTCAGCTGAATGGCCGATGGTGCGATCTGAGGCTCCACGGGGCCACGGGAGAGGTTGATGACCACCTGAGGAAGGGACGGAGCAGGCAGAGGGAAGGGGCACCGTGAGTATTTCTGAGCGCATCTCTTTCCGTCCGTTGGTGTACGTTGGGATCTCACGTTGGGATCTCTTGCGCGTCGCCCGACGTCCATTCGGGAGTCGTATTGACGCACTGTGCCTGCGGGAGCGGGAGGCAGGGAGAAATGTGTTATTCTTTTTCGATGCATGAATGTCGGCGTACCATCCTCACTCGCACTCCAGAAGAGGGATGGTACGCCGGGATGGGTGGCCACCTGCTTGATGCGATTCGAGTGACACTCGTATATTGTGCTGACAAACACAGATGGACGGGCACTCAGGTGAGCGCACTTTGTGTTTGTGCATCCATCCATCCATCCATCTGTGTACCGTTTGTTCGGTGTCTGTATGCTGGTCAGCCTGACTTCGTGATCCATGGCGCCCGTCACGATGTACTCATCGTTGAGGAAGGCGACACCAAAGATGTTGTACGCGTGGCCTGCGCACACAACCAAACAGTCACTCACTCACTCATTAAATTCACACAGGGGGACGTGTGGCATGTCACATGGCTCCACCTGTTTGAATGCGGTGTTTCACTTTGGTCATGTTGGCCGTGGTCCAAAGCAGCACCGTACAGTCGTCACTGCCTGGGATATCAGTCAGACCACAAGACAAATGAAGACAGGAAGGCATATACACATCAACAACCTCGCCCCAACAGCCTACCAGATGCCAGCATGCTTCCTCTTTCGTTCCACGCGACACGATTGACACAACCAGAATGACCTGCAAGCAGCAACCGAAACATACAGACACACAAATGAAACAACAGTGGCTGCATCATCTCATAAACAACTGGTTCCGTCACATCTGAGTCATTTTCGGTGCGCACCTGTGAGTCGTTCCGCACAGGCCATTCTTTTGATGAGGCTCTCGTGGCACTGCAGCTGCTGCCGCACTCTCCCATCATCCCCTTGATGACGGCGCCGGTTCAGCAGGTCTACCAGAGGCTCGCTGTGACCCAGAAGAGGACAGCGGCGGGACGAACAGCAGCCGACTTGCTCGCCGTTCGTGCCTCCCGACATCTCACAAACTTCTTCCTTCTCGTCACCAATAGGTTTAACGGAACTGAATGCCTTCCTTTTCTTCCTTTTTCTTCCCTTCCTTCTTCTTCTCTGTGGAAAACACTCAAAAATCCTTACAGCCAACAAACGAAAAAGGATCTCAGAGGGAGAAACCCAAAAGTCCCAAGTGACAGAAAACAAAAGGGGGTGCCTCGTCGTATGCTCCACGCAAACTCTCTGCCTCCACGCATATCATACACGCACACACACAAAGCCTCGCCTTCGCTATTGCATTGTTCCGCGAAGAAGGGGCACCCCTCCACCGGCCACAACACACAAACACACATATATACATACACTCGTACAGACAAGAGCAAGACAATGCCGGCAGAGACACTACATGCACGCACGAGGCACAACATGTGCCATGATGTGCGTACACAAACACGTACGTATGTACAGACAGACAGACAGACAGACAGACACTGTCAGACAGGCAGATGAAGTAATCAATCAATGATTTTCTTCAGTTTGCCGAGTGTCGTTGGTCGGAGGGCTATCCTCCCCTCCCCGAAAAAACAAAATCAAAGGAGATAACAATCCTGGGCAAACCCAAGGGAGGAGCTGTTCTCTCTTTCTATCTGTTCTCTCTTTTTGATTTGTGTCTCCTGCGTTGAACACCACTGCAAAGACACTGTACACTTCTTACGTAAGTGTCGGACATGGCATCGAGCGGGTCTTCCTCCTCATGACCCTCGTGAGAACGAAAGACGTGCTGGACTGTCTCACGTCGATACGTGGCACCCGCAGCACCCGTCGGCGAAAGGTACGTACGCAAGTCTGTCTGTCTGCACATTTGGTTATGACGGTGGCCCTCGCATCCGCCTCACATCCCTCTCAGCACTCTAGAGGTGACACGGGTACGTATGACAGTCGCTGCAGAAACTGTGCATCTCTTGTGTGTGTGTACCTGATTTGATGTGTCAGCTTGTGCGATGTGTATATATCCCAACTGCGTCACGTTGACTCATTTTCTGGCTAGTCGTTGCTCGGCTCGGCCCTTCGGGCCTCGCCTTCGCAATTGCTTCAATTCAGCATCTTCCCCTTGTCCGCACCCTCTGCACTAGTCAGTCAGTGTATCGTGTGCATTGATTGTATGGCATGCATAACTGTTGGAACACTGTCAGAGACCAATAAGTGTTCATACGAGTCGTCACTCTCAAATCGCATCGAACATGCATTGAATATACATTCAAAACGTGCCCTGGCCCACAGTACTGAGGGTAGGTAGCATTGATGGATACCCTCAATACACACACTATACCGACCAACCAACCAGCATTATACGAATGAGCAGTGTAGCTTTCCCCCAATCGGAGCGTTGCACATAGGGCATTTGTTTCTGCCGTCTGCCACACGAGCAGCGCACCGCGAGCATAGTGCAAAGTGCATGCACGGCAAGAAGAGAGTATCTCGGTCGCGCTCAAAGCAGACTTGACACACCCACATGCTCGCCTGAAGGAAACAGCCATACACGCGGTCCCCAAGCATCAGCCTGTCAAGCACCCTATCTGTTGTCACCTTTTCTTGCAACTGGGCATTCTCCGCTTGAAGCACTGCAATGCGCCCTTCATCGGCACTCACCTGCACGAGACGCGCATACTCAGGATGACGTACATGAGGGCACGTTGCCTTCATTCGTCATTGACTGACTGACTGGCTGACCGACCCGCTCATTCACCTGCTGCCTGAGCGTCGAGATGTCAGCCGTCTTGTCTCTCAGCTGTTTTTCCATCCGCCCGTGTACCTCACGCATCCGACCCACACGCCGACAATGCATCTTATGTAATGCACCCAGCACCTCGGATGCATCGCCACCAGCGTCACCCCCACTCAGCGCATCGTGGTAGAAGGCGAGCGGCGAAGTGAGCACCTGGTAGTCGTCCGCGGCCTTTCGGGCGTCCCTGTCCTTCGCTCGGGCCATTTGCTGCGCCAGGTGGATCTGCCGCTTGGCCGAACCGATTTGCTCATCCAATGCGGTTGCCAATGGAAGTAGCGAGGGCGGCAGCAGACAGGCACGGCGTGCGAGCAGCGATGTGGCAAAGCTGAGGGCCTCATTGAGCAACGCGACACTCGATGCCGAGATAAACGAACCAAGGACGTCAGAAAGAGTCGAGAAGCCCTGAACACGCGAACACGTAACCTCATATAAGTGCTGTGTATGGCAGCGTCTTGGCGCCTTTAGGTCCATCCGCATTTTACTTACGGCAAGGGTTCGTTGGTTGTGCTGGTGGATGGCACTGACCCGCTGTGCGGTGCGCGTGGGTACGCAGCTGGCGCACTTGCCGCACCTGGCACACCGACGAGCGCCACAACCATCCGCCCTAGCCCGCTTCCCACGGCCCACTGCCGGCACCGAGTAGACGCCTACATGCCATGCCATGCCATGCCAGGGACAACCGGAGCATACATGTACTAGCCACGCTTCTTCGCGAATGTCCTTCTCGGCGTATTCTCTTTCACTCACCGCACAAGCAGACGCTATTGCCGTCTGGCCGCTCTCCGCCACCGGAATGAGAGCTTGCCAAGCCAACATCTCTCTTGCCCCCCAAAACGGCCACCTGTACGGCCGCGCACATGTCGCTCGCCATCATCCCCTCCACACAGGACGCGCACACCGACACCTCACTGTCGGCGGCAGTGTCGCCCAACAGCAGGACATCATCCGTCTCCCGGCTCAACGAGGCCTCCTTGATGTGGTGCTGTGCATATGAGTGGGCAAAGGATGATGCCAAGCAGAGAGCGGTGTGGATGCTCTTGAGCGCCAGCCACACGAGGGACAGCAGGCCGTCCACAGCCTCCGTCATCACCCACGGCAACATGTGCATGTCCGCCGCGCGAACGAGGGGCGAAAGGCTGCTGCTCAGCGCCCGCCTGACAAAGTGCCAAGAGAGAGAATGCGCGTTACGTCGACCATTCCACCCTCATTTGCCGACTGACCTGTGCGCGTTGACGACCTTTTGCTGCTCGCGCCATCTGTCCTCTCTGTCTTGCGCCTCACTACTAGCTCCCTCGATTCTCTCCAGCAGCTGCTGCCCCCGCTTCACGCACGCATCCACCGATGCGTGGGCGTACCGAAGTCGGCACACGGTACTCTCCAGGATAGAAAGCCTCATCCGCCAGAGGTGCGTGTGCCTCTGGAGCAGGTCCATGAGTCCACCGAGGTGTTTCTTGTGAAGCGACACGAGGGACGTGAGGCTGAACGACAAGGCACAGGAAGAAACGACATATCTTGTATATACGCTACCCCAAGGACCGAGTGGTAATCGACTGACCCGCTCGATAATGTCCCACCTGCAACGGCCATGTCGAAGGCGAACCCCTCCGGAAGAGAAATAGCCAACATGTGCCCAACACGCCGATAGGGTGCCACAAAGCCACATGAAGACTCGCCCAGGAACTCATGCAGCGAGGGGATCGCAGCCCGGTCACCCGGCTTGTTTCTGTCTCCGACTCCTGGTGACGAGTCCTGGGAGAAGAGGCGGTGATGGATGTGCGACAGAGAGGCCAGCAAAGGATTGCCGCTGCGCGGTGGAGGCGGTGGGGGAGGTGGCGGGGGAGGGCGCGATGATTGCACCGTCGTGTGCTGCTTCAGGGCTTCGTTGAGGGTCGCTGTGATGTTCCTCGCTCTTTGGAGAAGCTTCTCGCTCAGCCAGTCTCGCTTCAGAACGCGCACCAACGTGACCAGGCTCTCCTGCACGCAACATGCCATATGCAGACCAGGAGGGCGTTATCATATGGGAAAGACACTCATACTATATGGCTTTTCACATTGTCGTTGCTCACGTGGTGCTTCTGAGAATTGCCCTTGACCATCAACTGCACAATGTCCCGCCAGCCATCGAGCGTCCCGACACCCATCGCACACAGCAGGCGGGCGGCGCACTCAGCACCATCAGTGTCGCCCATGGGTGCCTCGCGCCCCTCCTTGCCCTCGAACAAACGACGGCCCACTGACCCGCATAGTGCCTGGATGATGATGTCAAATAGCGAGCTGCGAAGCATTGCCTGCACAAGTGGGAAAGAAGAGCTGCCAGGGCATGCATTGCGTGCATATATGGGACCTGTGAGAGGGTCATGACGGTCATATGACCAGCCAGTCGTCGCTCACTCTCGATGAGCTGCTCCAGTGTCAGCAACTCTCCCTCGTCGCTGCTGATGCTCTCACCTTCCTGAGGGCTGCACGCATACTGAGGCTCAGGTGCGACAGTCGGGGCGGCTCCCTGCTCCGTGGTGAGGTAGCGGTGCAGTACGGCGGCATACGCAGACCATACGAGCGCCATCTCCTCACTCGAAGCACCTGCACAAACACATACACACGTCTTTTCGTGCTCTCGATGTGCGGCATCTCGCTCTTCTCTCTCACCGATCGCCTGTGCCTCGATGGCGATTTCCACCTCCTCAGCTGCACCGTGTTGGCGAAACATCTGGATGAGATCGTCTGCGCACCGCGCTGCAGAAGCGCTGAGGGCGTCCGTGCCCCGTGCCGCGTGGCCGTGTGGTGCTATCTGCCGCTCCTGCTGGGCTTCGAATGCAGATGGGGGTATGCGGTCATCCATCTTGAAGGACGTGGGAGACGACGAAGTGCCCTCATCGGAGGAGGCAGTGAGGGACGACGGCGGATCTGCATCGGTCATCCGCACAGACGGCCGCGGGGCAGTCGATAAGCCGCATGCAGCATCGCTTGCACCTTGCACATTGCTCGATTCCGTACGAGAAGCGCCACCGACCCTCTTCCCCGGCGCGGTGTTACTCGGCTCATCCGCAGTCTCGAAGGCGACGTGCACTTCTGAAGACGAGCCGCCAGCATCAACAGAAGAAGAAGGTAGGGGCTGCCGCGGTAGGCCTGGAGGGCTCCGTGTCTGCTCTCCACTGTTGTGATGACGCTGCCGACGTGCAGCTCGTCTCCTGCGGGATCCGATGCGACGACGGATGGACTCGAGAGCTGAGCCACCGCATTTTGTTATCGATGACAGCATCGTGGGAGGGTGAGCTCCTCCCGGCATAGCTCGCACTCTCCCGGCCGTTGCGGATAGGAAGGAGGAAGCGCCTCACTATTAAGGCCGACGTATACTGCCTTGTGCCGACTCCGGGGAGGATGCAGCCAGCAATACAGCGACGCAGCTTCATATCTCCGCCGAGGAGGAACAGCAGGAGCGGAAGGGAACGGCTGAGGCTGTTGCGGGGAGGGAGCCGAGGACCGCTGCACACACTGGTCTGCGCATCGCTTGGAGGATGCCTCATTGTCTCACTGGTCGTCCTGTTGACTGCGGTGCCGGGCCCTTTCTCCCTCCTCCACCAACGGTCACACGCCTGTCAGCCGAGCCAAGAAACCACAGTGGATGCGCGGATTCTGCAGGACAACGACAAGGACGGCCAACCACCGCCCCAGCACCAGCAGCAACACCAGCAGCAGCTTACACCAATCGAGGCTGAGCGGTCGGCGGCGGCCGCGTTGGTGGCGTATCTGGTGCAGAGCATTAACGACTATGACAGGGAGGTCCAGGCCGTGGCGGATTGCGACGAGAGGACCTTCCGGGCCCCGACGGCTGCCGGCAGCCCGGAGCGGCTGTTGTCGGTGTGCGTGCCGCGGACGATGAATTTGGTGAGCGAGTCGCTGAGGCGGGAGAAGGGGGAGTGGGAGAAGCCTCAAACCATGGCCATCGCTGACAAAATGAGGGTACAATGGGGCAGGCAGGAGAGGGGACAGAGCGCATGGAGTGTGTCAGTTGTATTTCAGGAGTGCGGGTCCCCCGGCGACGCTCGTTGTGTGTTTGTGGATGTGGGCGTGGAGGAGGGATGGTACGCTCTCAATATCGCAGCACTGGGGTATAAAGTCATCGGTACAAAGAGACAGACACGAAAATGGACACAAACACAGATACATATAGCTCCGTATGATGTTGCTCTGTGCAACCTCTTGCATCACTGCATCTGGATGTGTGTCTGTATGTGTGGTGTAGGTTTCGAGGCAATGCTTCGCAACGTATACGCGACCACCAGGTCCGCACACCTGCCCGCCAACAGCTTTGAGGGCTCCGCCATCCCGGATATACAAATATACCCATTTGCAGCGGGAGACAAATACGAGAGGTAAGAGTAGATGGCCCAGCACAGTGAGTACAGAGACGACACATTTCGTGACGTGTGGTGGGTTTCGGTGACTGTACAGGTGCGTCGTCGCCTCAAGTAAGTGGTACTGACCTTCTCGTGCCAACAAGCTTCACTGTACCTTGTGTACGTTGGCTGGTGGATTGGTCTGTGATTCCTGCATCCGCTCACTCTTCCGCTGTGCAGATCCCAGGAACACCCTCGACGGTGACAAGTCGCACATATCGAGGGGTCATTCTGCCTGCGATCGATGCCTGCCTGTGTCCATTTGTGCCTGCAGGTCACACGCTGTGCGGCGCGAGCAACACCTCCCATGTGCTCGAGAGGGCCAACCTCACCAGGCGACACGATGTAATGGATGGATGGAACAGGGAAACCAGTGCCTGTGACCGTGTGTTTCCGTGTGTGTGGATGGTGGATGGACGTGTATGTGCAGGTGCAGACGGTGCTGCTCGACGACATGCTGGCTGATGTGTCGCCATGGATGATGAAACTGGACGTCGAGGGAGCCGAACTCAAAGTACTCAGAGGTAGGTGCGCTAAGCCAGACGTATCAGTGTGGCATTTTTCTCTGTGTGGCATGTCAATCAGGTGCCCGTGAGGTGCTGAAGCGAGTCAAATACGTGTTCCACGAAGCATCCAGGTAGCATTGTCAGCAACGCCCTGCAACCATTGGCACTTATGTCTCTTGTATCGTCCACGACAGAGAGTTGCTAGAGGAGAAGGGCGACACGCCCGAGGAGTTGCTCGACTTCTGGAAGGCCATGGGGTTCTCCTGCCGGCCGTTCCAGTTCTCGCGTGAGGACCTCCGCACCGTCTTCAGGAGACGACGCTTTATGGCAGACATCCTCTGCACAAACCTCAAATTCGTTAGCCTATACACATAGCATGACACGGCCGACATGCTCAGTGGTTCGGCCGGTGGGTGGGATGTGATGCGACGTGAGGCGCTGATGCACAAATGGTGCAAGTGATTTGATCGGCGTGTTGCTGAGTGAGAAGTGATTTGATCGCACTGTGGTGGGTGGGGGTGTGGTGGGTCTGTTTTGTAGGCGGGTGCTGTTGTATCTGTCCTGTCTGTCCTGCGTGCTCACGTGCTGTCGACATCACTTAGTCGGTGATGACTGATCGACAGTGTGCAGCCAGTGCACCTAGCTGTGCTGTGTGGCATGCATGTGGCGTGATGCGGGCTTGTCCATGTGCTGGTTCGTGTAAGGCATGACTTATGTATATAGATAGGTCAATGCACGTGTGTATATAGACATCGTCAGACACGCCCTCTGACACAAATGCCCGAACGCGAATACACCGAGAAATACATACGCACCCTACACCCTACTGAACCGGCACACTGATTAATCCTGCATCCCGCGATGAGGGGAGTGCGTCACGATTTGTCCGACACTTCATTGATGAATGCCGCCACTTGCTCGACGAACGCCTGCCGGTACTCCTGTTTCTCCAGACCATGGTCGCCGTCCAGAAACACCAACTTGGCACAGTCAGAGAAACTGACGCACAGCACACGGCCTCAAAGGCAAACATTCAGTGCACTGTTGGTTCGATAGACACCTTGATGCGGTTGGCATGAAGGTGTCGTTGAGGAAGGCCTTCAACGCATCCATATCCTTGACGTACTCATCGTCCTCACTGAAATCACACGAATGGGTGACAGACATCAGACATCTACACTGCGGGCTAGCTACGCCACCTGTAAACAAACAGTGAGGGTACGGTGAGGGGCTTGAGCCGCGGTGCCAGCTCCTCCTGGGTCAAGTCGGTTGAGAAGAAATCCTCATCACCCAACTTGGACGCCATGCTGTGAAAACTGCACACACACGCAACACAAACTAACCCCCTGCTCGTTCTTGCCTGCGTGCCTGTGTCCTCGGCCATTACCGACCGGTATGCGCTGATGGATACGATGCCAAAGAGCTTCTCTGACAGGACCTTGTCGGGCTGTCCCTCGGCCAGTGCTGCATTGGCCTCAGCCAGCAGACCGTCGAACCCATGAGTGCCCACCTACACATCAAGGAATCGTCGCAGTGTACAGATTGGTTTGCATGTCCGAGTGTACGCACCATGGCCTGCCTGTCTGAGATGCCGCCCTGGAATACTGCAAAGTCCAGCGACCGGTGCGGTGGACATCCTGCAGCCAGGCATCAATGTATTTGGACAAGTGGATATTCCGTCTTCGGGTGTGTACGGTGTCACGACCTTGCTCATCGTATTGCTTCATCATGTGCATGATGTCCTGGCAACCTGAAGCATAGAGGAATGATCGTCTCACCAGTGCGTGTGCGCTGCATGCAGGACAGCGCATTGCATACCCGTAGAGTGCCCGATGATGCCTATCCGGTGGAAGCCCCTCTGTTTCCGAAGATGGTCCACCAGCAGCCAGAGCTCCTTCGCATCTTGCATCACGGACGATGTGCCAAACTGGTTCCAGCTGCTCGACAAATTCACCTGGCAGGCAGTGACTCATCCGATTCAACTCGACTGCGAAGGTGAGGCCTGGGGCACTGCCTGTCCCTCAAGACTGCATATGTCAAGAGTGTTCACCTGGCAGACACTCCAGCCCATCGCGTTGAGCCTCTCGGCCAGGGATGGGACATACCGAAGACTAAGAAACCCTGAAACGATAGACACACAATACTGCATGTTTGGTTCGCTGTTATAGATCTGATCTGACCATCAGTAAGACCTCCCACGACGATGCAGCACGATGCCTTGGAGGTCTTAATCTGTCGTGATGGCGTGATAAAGCCCAGCAGATGGCGACCCTCGTCGACATCGAAGTGAAACATCAAACCCTCCTGCTCCTGCGCTTCACTGCCCTCCTTCGCCATGATTCAGTGGCTGGGGTATGAGGCAACACGACAGATTGGCTGATGCTTTAGGGCGTCTTTTCGCGAAACAGCTTCAGGGCAGCTCGTAAAACACTATTCCCTGACAAAGCTCCCACGTCATGAGGAGCCTGGTGAGAGGAGCCGCATCTAGTCTCTTCCGGCCTTCGAATCAGTTTCGAGCGGTCTCTTCCGTGCCGGCATTCATCAATGGGACCTTCAGCGAGAGCTCCGGCACACAGTTCTTTGAAGTGCGGAATCCGGCCACGCAAGAGCTGAGTAAGTGATCAGGAAGTTGCCTGCTGACGCCTGTATGATGTGGCGTTTGATCTCATGCAGTTGCCAAGACTCCTCAGTCAACAGACGCGGAGCTGAAGGATGCAGCAAGTGCAGCGCAGAAGGCCTTCTTGTCGTGGCGCAACACACCCGTGTCGGTGCGCCAGAGATACATGTTCAAGTTGCAGTCAATCATCCGCGAGAGAACCGACGAACTGGCCGCAATCCTCACCAAGGAGCAGGGCAAGACTCTAGACGATGCCAAAGGTGACATCTTCCGGTGAGCCAACCGACCAGCCGCAGCCGCGCCGCAAAGAGCAAACACCCATGAGTGCCTGTTGTGATGTCAGGGGCCTGGAGGTTGTGGAGTATGCTTGCAGCGCATCTTCTGTACTCATGGGCGAGACCATCGAGAACGTCTCCAAGGTGAGGCGGGCAACCTGAGAGCACCGGTTGACGCACCTGGATCCCGTCACATGGTTTGTTTGATGTAGGGCGTTGACACCTATTCGTACAGACAGCCACTCGGTGTTTGTGCGGGAGTGGCGCCATTCAACTTCCCCGCAATGTGAGTATCTGAGCGGGAGGGGCAGGTTGTTTCTCTTTTTCATTTCCTTCTTCCTCTTTTCTGTAGGATTCCGTTGTGGATGTTCCCATTAGCAATTGCAGGTCAGGTGCTCTTCTCTGCCCATCGTTCGCTGCAAGAGCCGATTGTGCTATTTCAGCCGGCAACACCTTCGTCCTCAAGCCGTCTGAGCGGGTGCCATTGTCGTCAATGAAGCTGGCAGAGTGGCTGAACGAAATTGGGCTCCCTCCTGGTGTCGTCAACATCGTGGTACGCACACACAAAAGGCAGCATTCAACGATGGTATGTACTTTGCTGCATGCCTTCTCTTGTCAGCATGGCGGGAAGCCGACTGTGGACTTCATTTGTGAAGACCCTCACATTCGCGCCATATCGTTTGTCGGCTCGAACAGAGCCGGCGAGTACATCTTCGAACAGGGGACCAAGAACGGCAAGCGCGTCCAGGCCAACCTGGGAGCAAAGGTTCGCAGGGCAGCAGGGTGGGATGAGGCACACGTGTTCGTGGCTTCCTGATCATGGTGGGATCTTTGCTTTCAATCTAGAACCACGCGGTCGTCATGCCAGACGCGGACAAGGAGGACACAATCAATATGCTCTGCAATTCGGCATTTGGTGGGCTGGAGAAAGGAAGGAGAAATGCATCTGGATGGTCTCAATTGCAGGGGCTGCCGGACAGCGCTGCATGGCCATTTCTGTTGCCATGATGGTGGGGGAAGCGTCTGCCTGGATACCGTAAGCTAAGGCGCACTCGCTCTCTCAACGAAGAGCTTTGATTGAGCTCGTTCTTGTCAGAGAGATCGTGAAGCGAGCGTCTTCATTCAAGGTCAACACAGGGAGCGAGCCTGGGACCGACATCGGCCCTCTGATCTCCCCAGAGGCAAAGAAGCGCGTCATTCAGCTCGTTTCACAAGTAGGGATTTTTGAACAGTTCGCATCCGTCACCATGTTCCCGTGTGTGTCGAATAGGGGGTGGAGGAAGGCGCGACGCTAGCGCTGAATGGTTTGGACGTGACCGTGCCGGGCTACGAAAATGGTACACACGTCAACACCAGCAGTCTGCATCATTCTCTCCCTTGTTCATTCTCGGCAGGCAACTTCGTCGGACCTACCCTCCTCACAGACGTCACTCCCGACAACGTCGCATACAACGAAGAGATTTTCGGTATGGATATGCACCTGCCAAACGACATGGTCCTGTTGCACAGGTGCGGTGTACTACAACAGGTCCGGTGTTGTGCACGATGAACTGCGACAGCCTTGACGATGCTTTGGCAACTGTCAACAAGAACCCAAAAGGCAATGGGACAGGTAACACGCTCGTGGTCTGCATGCATCAAGACGCGACTTGCATTTCTTTTTTCCTTTAGCAATCTTCACCAAGAATGGTGCTACAGCCAGAAGGTTCCAGTATGAAGTGGACGTGGGGCAAGGTGAGCGACCACGAGACCACGAAGACACCTGCAACAAATACAAGACAATTAACCAATGTTCGTCTCCTCCAGTTGGCATCAATCTGCCCATTCCGGTTCCACTTCCGATGTACGCACACACAGGCATCAGCTAGACGCAGCCCCATTTTCTGTTTCCACTACCGCTTTCAGGTTCTCATTCACTGGCTGGAAAGGAAGCATCAGAGGCGACCTGAACTTCTACGGCAAATATGGTACGTGTCAAGAACGACAAAGACTCAGTTTGTTTTCCTTGGATCTGAACGCTCCCTTGTTCTGCAGGGCTCTACTTTTACACACAGGTCAAGACCATTACCAGTCGCTGGAAAGATGAAGCCAAGGTGGCTAAGTTGAGTGGGGCAATGCCAACTTTGGGGTAGCGGGTCTGTGATTCAAGTCTGTCAAATAATGTCATTGGGGTGGGGGGCAGTTCTGTCCAGAGGTTCATGCAGGTGCATAGTGTAGCACTGCGCGTTCTCGTTTGGGACTTATGACACTCTTGTGGTGGAGGGTGCAGAGAGGCACACATACACACAGCCATCAATCAATTCAGCGTATCCTGATGCACGCATTGATCGATGAGAATAGGCACACACAGAGAGGGGCCGTCCCCAACCGTCTCATGCGACCTTGACGAACACACCGTCCTGCGTCGACAACATTTGTGCACATTCATATTGCATAGGGAATTTTGTTTGTAGTGGACATGCCTGAAGAAAGGCCGCATCAAACATCCGGTCAAGCCCTTCACGAACTGAGTAGCAACTCCCATTCAAGCTGAAAAAAATCGGCCAAAGCCAAAGGCTTCATGCACCTCCTCAGCATCTTTCAAACCTACCTCATGTCAAGTATGGAGACATTTGAGCTTTCTGCGACTGCCGATTTGAGCAAAGCAATGATCTCTCCCTGCGAATCTCCCACATCATTTGCAGCCAATGAGAGGTATTGAAGCGTAGGATGTGTCTTGACTACATCTGCCCATATCGAAGCGCCTGGAGCAGAAGGGAAATTGTGTGCGTCTCTGCCCGCCTTTTTCTAACCTACCAATTTCTCCAATCTGATTCCAGCTGAGATCCAGATAGCGTAGAGCCGGAGGCGACCGCATTTCGCTAGACGAGTTGAATCTTCTGACGCTGGTAGTATGTCCCTCCGCGATGGGAACGTGCAACGTTCTGTTCACGCCGCATAACAATCCAGCGCCTCCACGTTCTGTTTCGGACAGAGATGCAGCTTTGGTTGGGATGCCAGCCACTGCAGCCGCCAAGGCCAATGAGCCTACAAGCAGAGGGAGAAGCAAAGAACAAGTGCTCGACACGGAAGCTGGTACGACCGAGGACCTTCTGCAGTGATTTGATTTTTGGCCAGATCCAGAGCCGTCAATTTGCGTAAGCTGCTGACGACAGCCGACGCGACTTCAACACAGCCCTGGACCAACAACGAAGACTTCCAACAGGAGAATGCCACAGCATGTTTCAGGGACTCACCCTGCTCCCGATTTGATTGTCTCGCAATGTGATGGTCTCCAACCAGCACCTGGTGTCAATGGAGAATGCGTAAGGGAATGTGAGGACGCGTGTCTTTCTCACCTTGTCCTTTCAAGCGCGGAACAGAGCAAAAACGCCCCCCGGTCAGAAACGCTACAGCCATCCAACGTCAAATGGGACAAAGACGAGAAGACCATGCCCTTTCCAAAAAGATGCGCCTCGAGTCGCGCCCCAAGAAAGAGGGAAAAGAGGGAGAAGGAGGAAGCCAATCCGACAACTTCTTGCAGCACCGGCAAGAACGCCGAGCCCTCGGGGAAGTCCACCTGTCCATCACATGTGGCGATACATATGTATGAGAACGCCAAAATGGCTTTTCTTTTTTTTGTACCTTTTCGCTGTCGTGAATGCCTTTTCTGACTTGAGCACCGAGACACTGGGCTCCGCCATATGAAAGTCGATCCGCTAAGCGCTGTTGCAATAAGTCTCCAGCTCCATGGAGTAATGCCTGCTGACGTCTCTGACTTCGGGCTTTCCATCTCTTCTCCTTCAAGAGGCCACGGCTGATGAGCTCCGTCTCCACTCCTGCCAGCTCTCCGGGTTCTTCTCGCGCCAGTCCTCGCCAGATTTGCAATCTGGTCCGCAGCTCTTTGAGGAGTTTGTCTCCGTTTGGAGACACCCCTTCTGATGCTTCAGCCGCAAAGCCATCATTGCCACTTATTTCCGTTTTGAACGAAGGAACGACGGAAGGAATGTCTTGCGTTGTCTCCAAAGCAGGGCCGATTGACAAACGTTTCTCGATGACAGCAGGGCAGGCCGAAAACAACAGCTTGATGTTCTCGAAAGGCTGCCGCAGACTCGCGTCGTTCATGTCGAAGGGTTCTGGGAAAGGCCGGAAGACGCGCTGGTTCCTGTCAGGAGGTAATGCAACAGCAGAGCCAGAAAAGCGATAATCGGTACACGGCGCTATGGGGGTGTCGTCCAATGGCGGAAGGGAGGGGTCGCTCGTGTCTCTTGTGGTCCGTCCGAAACTCAAGATGACGTGAAGAACGGCAGCATAAGGGTACAGGTGCAGCACATGACCGAAGAGAATCGCGTCGCATTGAGTGATGTTTGACCATGGTGACATCTGAATCTGGATAACGACTGCTGCGCCTGAGGAATACAAAAGTTCGGTCATAGCACCCATCAGGAGCCCCGGTGCAGTTACCCAGCTGTCCTGCTTTTTGGAGCGACTCCAAGTCGATCCCATTGAAGAATGTTAACGTTCCAAAACGGCTCTATGATACGAAAGGAGACGTGCAGGTCTCGCCAGACTGCTTTTTTCTTCACTTTTCGTACCTGGAGTATCTTGACCATTTCCAATGCACTGCACACTCCCAAGGAGAGACAGCTTCGAGCATCGAAATATCTCAAGGATGGAAGCGGCATTTCGGCCCTGTCCATTTTGTATGGAGGCGATAGGATATTCGCGAGGCGGGAAATGGCCGCATCGGTGATCGTGTTCTGAGACAAATCGAGGTGCGTCACAGCCGCGAGACGTCGAAAGCCGGGAGCTTCCCGAGGCCACTTGCTCTCCAGCAGTGAGCACAGCCCTTGCATTCCTTCGTCGCTCGAACTCCGTGAACACCGAAGGAAAGCGGTTTCGAGCCGGAGGTGTTCAAAGACCTGTAGGAAAGCAGGCACCAGATAGGGGGGAGGATTGGCATAGCTTCCTTTATTTCTTATTACCTCTGGAGTCTTTTCGCACAGCCGACCAAGCAGGGCGAGAGTGGTGTCATTCCATAGCACATCGGAGTCTTCAGGCTGGTCTTGCTTTTGTAGCTGAATACCGTTGAACGACGTGAGATTGGTCCTTCCAGCCGCTGCGGACGCCAACATGGACGAACCTCTGTATGTGAAAAACGCTCGTTAAAGCGGTCATTCAAGCAATATTCGGTCCTCATGGAATGTCGTTACTTTGCGCTCGTTTTGAAGCCTGGGCCGAACTGCAAATGCTTGATAGTCTGATTGCCGACCACAATATCGGCGAGGAAGACCAAGGAGTTGTCAGGAATAGTGTGTCTCGACAGTCGCAGAGAGACGAGAAGCGGGAAGTTTGCTGGCGTGACAAGGCTACCGAGGAGCAGGGCGTCACCCTCGTCGAGACGAACTTCTCTCGTAGCTTCTGGTCCTTCTCCGCCCGTGTTGATGGCAGCCCGCGCGTATGCCACTCCTGCAGGATCGTCGAAATCGCCAAAATCTATTGCTCCGTCATCAGCTCCGTTGAAGTGCAAGAGCTGGAGAATCGCAAGCTGTCAAAGTCGAATGTGTGAGGGAAGCCTTACCTTTGTCTTTTGCGCATTGGCGATTAGAACGGGAATACAGTTGAGCGTCTCCACATTTGTGTTTTCGTTCTGAAGCAGGTGGAGCAAATACAGCCCGTCCGATTCAGTGAGGTAGTTTCCACGCTGACCAAACAAGGGTAAACAGATAGTCGAGTCAAATCCAAGTAACGCTCTTGCATTGTACCAGGTCAAGCTTCCTTAGAGAAGGACTCATTAGGAGGGAGCGAAGGACGCGGCGAAAGAAGGAAGGCACTCGCTCTATCGCTGCGTCATGGTCTTCGTTCTCCTCACTGCAAGAAACAATGAGGTGTGCTGAAAAGGAGATGTATCTACACGTACCCGGCGGCATACTCATCAGGGTGCATCGATTCGCACATTTTCCGCAGACCTTGCATGGCAAGACTTAAGGAAATGAGCGACTCAGTCAGCGGCAGAGCTAATGGCCTGACAATGGCGCAATCAGACGACGACATCACACGTGAAACACGAGAAGGACGCACCTGTCCAATTGCGGGAAGGGGAAATTTCTCGGCGCCTCACACACCGGCACGTGAAGGGCGGGGGTATAGATTGTCTGCAGAGACATGCAATGTGTCCATGTATTGTGTCTCGGTGGCTCAGACGCCTTTTTCATCTGTTCCTTTACTCGATAGGTGCCGGCCGGTCCCTCGACCACAGTGCCGCTCATCACTTCCTCAAAGTCTTCTGGAGACATGGATGAAAGCTGCTCCTTGGTGAGAGATCTGATGAGACAATTCGTCGTGAACCAGCAAGCGACGTGGGCACTGACAATCATTTGCCTCTCACCTGCCACCTGCGGCAACCTCTTCGAACCGCGGGAGCGTCATGAGAGTTGCCTTGAGCAGATTTATCATGCGTGCCGTCTCGTCTGAAAATGGCAGCCGTTTCCTCCTCACTGGCATCACGCTTTCTTGCACCGAAAGCCGCCTCAAATGGGTTCCAGCGCCCGAAGACAAGTATGTGAGCAGAGAGCAGACCGAGTTTGTGTTCATCCTGGCTCCGTCAATGGGCAGCTCCGTGATTTGGAGGGAGGGATTGGCGAGACATCTCAGCAGGCTTACACAGACATGGGTGCTCCGGATGCTCAGCTGATGGGGAAAGCTCCCCTCGCTCAAGCTGCTCACCAAGGCCGCGAGACGCTGGCACTGGTCAGTAACCACAGTCACGCGCTTGTCAATGAAGTATAGGCACACTCGCAGCGGCCGCTTATGCGCCACGAGTGCACGGAAGACCCCTTCGGAATCAGCGTTGCCCCTTAACCTCAGTGTGAGCGACTCGATGGCATCTTCACCGTCAATTGAATGCACGACGCCCCGCGTGCTCTCTGCAAGCGGTAAGGACTTGGTTTGCTACCTGTGCAACCACAACTCACTTTACCAAGCCGAAGAAGCAATCGAAGGTCTTCATCATCGTACGAACTGAATGAAGCACACCAGGCCCCTCAGATATCTTCGACAGGTGTGTGTCTGTTCTCTCACCCGAGCTGCATGTCATTGAATGTCTCAAGCGATCCTCGATGCGTCGGCCGGCATACCTTCCACAGACACGAGAAGCGGGCCTCGGCTTGTTCCACCTCGGCGTCGCGGGATTCTCTTTCGGTCCGAAGACGGGCCCCAAGGCCTCCTGAAAGCCTACAGAGAGTGAGACACACAGGCACCATCTGACAGATTGCTCTTGTTCCCTTGTGTGTTGCCTCTCCGATTACTTGCAAAGTGTGGAGCTGTAGCCCTGTATTGTAAGCGTCTGCACACGGGTCTTCCTTGAAGGCTCCGCGAACAAGGCCATGAGCTCGTCGATGCCGTCCGTCCCCGGTGGCAGAGCAAGGCTGACCTCGCGTAGCTCTGCCGAGTCTTTCTCGAGGAGCCTAGCCAATCATTCGCGGAGGGATATGCACAAGGATGCGTCTCGTTTTGCGACAACTCACCTCTTGACTGAGAAGAAGAGATGAGCCGACACGAAAGGCGGATACGGAACGACATCAACGAAACCGTCGGCAGAAGTGGAAACCTGCCATAGTGAGACATGCTTCTCTTCGTCATTAATCTGGGACTTAATAGCATTACTTGGCCGAATCTGAGGCTTCGAAGCTCTCGCATGCTACCCAGGGTCAGCATTTTGAGTTGAAGGACCAAGTCGGTTGTAGAAGCGCGCGGGCTTGAAGACCACGATTGGAGCGACGAGGCGCCGAAATGTTTCGCCTCGTCCGAGGTATCGACGTCAAACTCCTTGCCTCCGCACGGCTTTCTGAAGTCTTCAACACGTGTGGGAAGACTCCCCCACGCTTCAAGTTTGGGATGGAGCAGCAATGCCTCCGCAAGGGCGTTCAGCCCCTGCACCTTGTCCCACGTTGGGTGGCCGATAGCCGCACAGGCAATGGGGAAGCTGAGACGTCGCAAGCTCCTGTTACCGCGGACACCCTTGGTCAGCATCGCCAGACCCTGCGGCATCACATTATATATGCATGTATATGGCAGCGGCATGTGAAGATATCAGAATGTGCCTCTCACCTGCAGGTCGACAGGAATGTTGTCAAGAGTCAGACTCTCGATCGCCCCGCTGTGAAGGACGTATCTTGCGATCTTTTTGATCCCTTCATGGCCGAAGGAGCTGTTAGACAAGTCGAGCTCCTTGACACAATCAAATCTAAAAGACAAAGACACAATCCGCCGAGACCTGCCATGCCTCGGCCAGTGATCGGTCTTTCGCACCTCAAGAGCCATTCCTCGAGGAATATGATGTCTTCGTCAACAAGAAGGCGGTTCGCGAGGTTCAACGAATTTGCATGGCCACTTCGGAAGCGACGAAAGTCGATCTTCATGGTATTGACGCTTTCAAGAGGAGAGCTGGCATTCCCGATAAGGCTTTGAGCAATCGCCTGACACGAGAGTGGGAAGACGGTCTGTGAATGCGTTCCTATTGGTGACAATGGGTACCTTGGCTCCTTCCTTCTGCACTGAGCAGAGACACAAGATAGAGCAAGTGTGAAATGAGCAAGACGTACAGGGTCTGTTGGGGCATACCGTCGTTGCGTCTGAAGACGATCTGTTTCAGTGATTCGTTGAATCTGAGGAAGTGCGACAGGATGATTGCTCCCACCACCTCGATGCCATACAGGCCGCTGTGGCCTCTCCAATTGGACAGATTGAGCGACGTTGCGGTGTTGTCCTTCAAAGGCCGCACATGTACCCCATTAACTTTGGTCAGCAAGACGTAGCGGCGACCCAGCGCCTGCAGACAGTCGTGACGGAGCACCTGGGTTGGGGGCTCGTGTGCGGCCAGCCTCCTTTTTTGTCTCTCACGGTCCCTACCTTCATGAGCTCCCAGCCAAATCCTGGGCTAAGCTGATTCCCTCTCAGATCTGCAGACAAGACAGTCAGACGCACATTCATGCATTCAACTTCAATCAAATCATGGCGCACCATGATCACCTTACCGAGCTCCATTAGGTTGGGGCTTGATATAACGAGACTGAATATGATGTTGGCGTCGAGTCTGCTGCCCACTGGCAAGTCATATTATGACAGACAGCCACGAATCACGTTCCCCTGCGATGTTCTCTGGTCCCTTACTCAAGTGCAGCTTGTCGAATGTGCCGCTGTCTCCACCGAAGGAGAGATTGAGAGCGCAGGAATCCGCCTTTATCGCCGCCATGATGGTTTGGATTGACTCTTAGCCGCCGCTAGTGCGACAATCACTGAAGACGGCAACAAAAGATTGCAAAACGGACTTCGGGTATCACATACCGTGAACCTTATGCCCGTGAACCTCATGCCGTGACAACCATGACTCCATGAGATCGGCTTTCTACATCGTTTATTTTTCGACCACTATTTGTCCAGTAGGTATCGAAAACCTACCTAGCGAGTGCACGCAGACAGGGTCAAAATTGGACGCAGACCAAAACCACTCTCCCCGCGATGTACATGGATGCAGGCAGGCAGATACAAGCAGACGGACAGACATGTGATGGATGGATGGATGGACACTGACTTTTTATGCGTGTCCCTATCTTTCCGCACCCAGACAAAATCTTGACAAAACCAGCAACGAACACGGACACGGGGGCAAAATTGGCATTCATAGACGGGTAGACACAACATGCGCAAAAAAGAACCCGTAAAAAAGACTTCCGCACGCAAGACGACGGCGATTTTCTGCGCCGACTCCCTCGCTCGATTCTCATCCACTTCACCTACCTATGCTGTAGAATAGAACACGCGTTGCATTGGCAACATGCACCCATAGGACGCCACACGGCGCCCCTCTCGCACACAGGCGCCACGCGAACAAAAACGTGTATACGGTTACGCACATATATACATGCATCCATACAGGCGGCATGCACACGCAGAGGAGTGATGATTTTCACTGACTGGCTGCGTGTGTTGTAATTCTGACAAAAAGGCAAAAAGGACCACCCACGCACACAGATGAGATCCATTCCATCGACTGGAAAGGAACATTCATCGATCGATCCCTCTGCGTTGCCCCTCTCCCCCCCTCCTTCCCTCTCTCTCCGTCGCTCTGCGACCTACCTCTGACCACCACCGACCGACGCATCTCTCTCACCCCCTCCCTCTCTCTGCTCTTTCTGTGCCATTTTCAACCGGTGGACGGTGTGGTAACTGCTCTCTTGATGCAAACAGACGAACGGCTTGCATTCAGGGGAGCGCTCGCGTACGTACAAACATGTTTTGAAAAACACCAGCACTCATCCATTCGTTGACTGCATGTGTAGCGTGCGTCGGTTGAGTGTATGTTCATAACACTCGGGTGACACAGCCATCCATCCATCCAGCCAGCCAGCAAACCAGCAAACCAGACAGACAGACAGACAGGCAGACGATCGATCGAATGATGCAACCGCACCACACCACATACGCGTTTACATACATACGTAGAAGACAGGCAGGCTTGTTCCCTTCCTTCTCTTCCCCCACCACCCATTCCCCTCCCCTGCCCTCCCCTACCTACTTACGTACGCACATGGTATTATGTATGTACATAAATAAATAGACAGGCACACACCGATGCCTGCGACTAAACATTTTCAATACTCACACACACACACACACCGCTCAGCCGACATGACGACCGCCGCCCCGCAGCCACGTGGAAAAGACGGCCAACCCCACACGGACAAAACAAAAAAGCCACGGATAGACATCGCCGAGCCACGGTGCCATACATGTGTCATCTACTCCCCTACCTCCGCAGGCACACCGCACAGATGCAAGCCAGGGCTCCCGCCCCCAACAAGACAATCGGCCCACAACCACACCCCCACACCCACACCCAATGAATGAATGAATGAATGAATGAATGAATGGACACATCCAGACGACCGACGGACCGACCGACAACACATCACAGCACCAACATGGACCGCCCCCCAGCTACAAGTGGTTCCTGTCTCCCTTGCCGCCCGCCTGGCCCTGTCCCGCCTTGGCCGCCGCCTTGATGGGCGTGGATCTCTCCTGCTCCAGCTTGCGGAAGAGCCGACTGGCGTGTGTGCGCATGCGTTGCTTGCAGAGGCGCAGCCCTGCCCAGACGCTACCGATGACGAATGGGAGTGCGATGGCCATGCAACAGTCGGCGCTGATTGACAGCACGCCCAAACTCACCAACGCCTTGAATATCGTGCTGTCGGACACGCACAAAAAAAGACAAGAGATGGCCAAAGGGGGAAGGTGTCTCTGGGTGATTAGGAGGGGGGATTGTGGCTGACTTGAGCAGTTGTGCGGTGTAGTATGAGAGGCATATGAATGAGAGGCCCTCCACTGCCTCGGACAGCTGCAGCTTCATCACGGAATTCTTCTGCATCTCGGACATTCGCGATGCCTTGCTCTCCTCCAACTCGACAAACACGCGCGTCTGAAGCAAATCTGCCGACCAACACAGCACAACAATTGATCAGAGGTTTGCTGTGTGTCGTCTTTGAGGATGGAAGGATACCTGCGGTTCTTTGCAGTGACTTGCAGAGCTCCTCTGCACGGTACTCGGCGCTCTGACATGTCCGGATGGCAGGGTTCATACGGTAGTGGACAAACGACCCTGTCATGCATTAACAGACACCAAAGCTACGAGCATGCTCCTACGTCATATGTTGGGAGTGTACCTAGTGGCTGTATGCCGTCGATGCGCTCCTCTCGGAGGTGCTGCAAACGCTCTTCGAGTATCTGGTAGTACTGGTTGGTGGCAGAGAACCTACACGAACAGACGGAATGCCCGTGGTTGGGCGTTGACAGAAGGCGGTGTTGCCTGCCTGCGGATACCTGATCTGCGCCTGTGCAAACATCTGCTCGGATGAGAGCACCATCTCCGTCAACTCCTGCACACATCATGGTGACATTCTGTATGGAGGGATCCATCGACGGATCTTCCATGAGTTTCTATATCCACCTGCAGTAGTTTGGACTCTTCCTGCGGTGACTGTATTCGGTTAATGGTCTTGAGGATGTGGTGCTGCTGCGCCTGGATGGCGTCCACTCGTCCCGTCACCTCTGTGGCCACGGGCAGGCCCAGCAGAGCCAAAATCCGGTACACGTCCAACTCCAACATCTGGTGAACTGATATAACAGCGACCAGGGGAGGGAGCACCAAACCACGCCCATGTGTGCGGATATGTGTGGGTAGGGGTGGTTAAGTTATTGCTTACTGAGGCGTCCGACTGATCGCGAGGCCAGGTCTTGCACTAGGATGCGGCCAAATCCATCTGAGTGGATGCGGCAGTCAGTGAAGACGCGGGCGCTCTTTGAATGCATGTAAGAGCCGACCTACCCATTACCCCCAAACACATGCATCGATTCAAAGACCAGCTTGCGTGTTCAGTTGTGTGTCTGTGATACCACGTAGTTGTGTGCAAACATCTCTCTAAGCTGCCTCTGTGAGGGCGGCGGATCGCCCTCATCACCCTTCACCACCTGCACCAGAGAATCACACAGTCACAACCACCCCGTCCAGTGTACAGTCCATGAGTGCAGCGAAGCTGTGCGTACCGTCACGTGGGCCGCACAGATGATCGACGACGGAAGGGTTTCTATCCAATCGGACGGCAGACACGAAAACACTGACCTGTACGACGACACGTAGAGAGAGAAGACAGCACAGAATGAGGTCCATATGGCTGGTGTCTTGTGTGCGTGCATACTAACGTCTCGAAGGCGTTGTCTAGCGACACGTTGAACTGTGGGCATGATGCAGGTGTGTCGAACGGGTGGATGTAGTGCTCGGGCGACTGGATGAAGACAAACGACGAGAACTCCTCGGACCGCTCCCAACGCAGCTGGAACGGACCCACATCGGCATGGAAGTACCGCTGGCCCACCGCGGGCTCGGGAACTGATGGATACACGAGTCCAGACACCAAGACGATATATATCGCGTCTTTCAGCCAACGACCCCTCCTTCCTTGCCGGTCCCCTTGCCTCACTTACTAGCGTATCTGCGGCAGAGCGATGTGACGGCTTTGATGGGGTCGATGCCCACGGCCTCCTCGGCCTTCCTGCCATCCATGCTGTCAACCCGACCCTCACCCTCACCCTGCCGATGCAGCAGCGCAAACATCGAGATGCGCGCCGGGCTGGTGATGTGCTGCAACGGCCGGAACAGGATCTCGTTGGCGAGCTGTTTGCGCATAGGGTGATTCAGGCGCTTCATGACCGCAAAGTTGTTGACCGTCGCTGGGGTCATCGGGAAGGGGTTGAGCAGAGGGGTGGGCAGCGGGCGCGGCTCACTGACTAGTGAAGATGGGCTGGCCGTGCTGGCGGTGTCCTTGTGTGCCGTCCCGTTGGCATAGATGATGGCGTAGAGGTCGCCAGACACGCCGCTGTGGTGGTGCATCAGGTCCACCTCATGTGCGTCATGGCCATTTTGACGAGCCAGGGAGGAAGAAGCCGACGAACAGCTCCGGTGCACGAAAGCACTGGTGCCTCCAAACGCACTTGCTGGGCCCGCCCACACACCTGGGGAACGAAAGCCAACACAAATATTTCCACCGCCAATGTTTCCGTTAGTGGGAGGTGCTCATCCTGTGTCTGCCAGTGCCAAGGGCCCACCAGAGAGCTTTCTGTTGGAGACTCCGAGGCGGCTAGCCAGGCGATAGAGCACCATCGTAAGCGTACGGTTTCTTCAGGGGCCGGTGAGTGCCAGCGTCATGGTCCTTACACCGACGAACGGGCTGTGGTGTTTCCAACACGAGGAGGGAAAAGAGAAGGGAGAGAAAGACGAGAACCAACGAACACTCTTCAGCTCGCAATCGGTTTTACGGGAACCCATCTCGCGGCAGAGGTGCACGACGTGTGCGAATGCTTCACTTGTTCTTCATATCACTCGGCTGTTTTTTTTCCGGCTCGTGCGAGGCGGCGGCATTCGTCCCCCTTGCTCGGCAGACGCTGACCACTTATCCTGGTGAGCAGCTGCCACTCAGGTCTACTCACCGAAGGATCTGCAGCAATGTCTTGATGGCAAAAGATGCCGACACTCTCACACCCCGCTTTCGCCTCGCTGACCCATCGGCGGGCACAGAGGAGTCATCCCCCGCCCCGCCACAACAGCAAACTGCCCCTGGTGACATGAGTCCGCTCCGCGCGCGGATGGTGGGTGCTGTGCGTGAGCAGAAGGAGCGTTTGGGTCTCAAGTACGAGTCGCGGAAGAAGGACATGATAGACGAGGGGCTGCTGCCCATCGACTTCGACGACGAACGGGACCGGATGGGCATCACGCGACAAGAGCTGAGGGAGAGGGAGAGGGACAACGCCACAGACCTTACCAAGCCCCTGCGTGACTGGGACCGCAATGAGCTGGCTGCTGATGAGCGGTTGGAGCTACTGCAGGGCATCAACCCTGTCGAGCCCCTCTTCGCCTCAGTGGTGGCTGCAGTGGTGGCCTATGGTGGCTTCTCGTTTATGGGTCAGCTGCTGGAGATCTTTCGTGCATCGCCCATCCCGGCAGATGCAGCCTACCCGGTGCAGCGGCTGGGTGGGGCCTTCCAGCAAATGCTCTTCGGCGTCGTGTCGCTCGGAACCTTCTCGGTCGCCATCAACGCTGTAGGCCTGCTCGTGCTGGCGATGCGCGTGGCCTACGGCATATGGCGGGGGGAGCTGGACCCCAACAAGAGAGACCCCACCCTTCCCTCATACTTCGACATTCAAGGCTGGATCGACTACACCGACCGGCAAAGACAACAGCTCAAGGAACAGCGAGAAGGGGACAGGACGGTCGGCGAGGGGCAGGGGGACAAGGGTCAGGAGAAGCGACAGCCATTCGTATACAAGAGCGCCCTAGTGACCTTGTTCCAGGAGGCTTTCGACAAGGCCAGGAGCGACACAGCAGCTCAGCAGTCGACGTCCGTCAGCCATCAGCACCCACCCCGGCCGTCGGTGGCCGCCTCTGAGCAGCATGGCCATGCTCCCCCATCATCACGCCAAGGGCGGCAGGAACTTGACACGTTCTTGGACTCGATCATCGATGAGAGTGTTGGTGAGAGGGGCCGAGGGGACAGTGCAGACAGAGGTCGAGAGAAGCAGCGGGGTGAAACGAGGGGGGCGGAACGGAAGGGGACGACCAGGGGGGAAGAAAGTGAAATCGATTTTTCCCGTTTTGCACCTCTGTCGACGAAGTAATGCATGATGGATGACTGGATGGATAGATGCTGTTGGTTGTGGACGTGAGACGTGCAATATTACATGTGACGTGCACGAGGGCTTTGACTTTTCGATTGTAGCAATGTCAAGACAGTCCAAAAGTCAAAAGTCTCCAACTGAGATGTCATCCCCACAGTTAACTGGTGCTTGGTTGGTTGGTTATTGTGTTTAACGAGACTCGTAACCCCGGAGGGGATCCTGTCCATGCACACGGCCTATCTCCCCATGCCAGCCACCCACCCGACATGCTCGTGCCACCCTATGAGGGTCAGAAAAATCACTGTCCACACCGGCTGCACATGTACGACAAGACAGCCAGACAAAGGCGTAGAGCAGCCTGAGAGAACCGTGCTGGAGCATACCAACCCTAGAGAGAGCGGTTTCACGGAACGTCATAGTTCTCGCCACGGAACGCTTGCCGTGGTGCACGGAACTGGAAAGAAGAATCTCTCCTTTCCCTCTCGACTGTCTGTCTGTCGAAGCAGGAAAGTGAAGACGCTGCTGCTATCTACGATGGAGAAAAGGAAAGATGTTGGCGAGGAGGGGAACGATGCCAAGAGAATGCGCATGGACGGACCGAAGCCACCTGCTGCTAAGGTACCGCGTTGCTCGGAATGCGTCGCACCAGCTCTGATCTACCACCTTCGCTTGCGGGTTGCAGGTCACCTTCAAAACGAAGAAGCAGCGTGAGCACTTGGCCCTCCAACAAAAGCAAGAAGCCGAGGAAGCAGACAGGCTCAAAGCCGAAAAGCGGGAGGCTATTCGTCATGAGTTTTTGCTGTCTGAGGAGCTGCAGCGCGAGAAGGAGAGGCAGCTGCGCATGAAAGAAAGAGAGCGCGCGCGAGGAAGGATGGAGGAGGAGAGAAGGGGCAAAGAAGAGAATGCTCCGCGAAGGCAGATTGAGTACGCACACAAGCTTGTCCTGAAACTGATGGTTGTCATCTTTGTGGGAATGGCTGGATCAGGAAACGGACAGCAGTCGGTCAGCATGGAGGTGACGGAGATCGAAGCGAGATGCGAACCAGACAACAAGAAGCGGAGCTTGCTCAGGTAAGCACTAGCACTGAATGCGGCCGAAGGACTCGATACGAAGGTGGGTCCGTGTCTTTTGGGTTTTTTCTGCCTTTCTGTCTCAGATCAAAGAACACGTAAGCTATTATTCTTATCTGGTGTTCAATCTTGCTGGATTTGGTGCTCCGTGCAGTATTTGGGAACACGCCGTGCAGAGAAGAAAGTTCAGAAACCTTCAGGTGAACAATGTGATCAATAAGACGCTAAGTTGTTCATGTTTGCATTGTTTGTTGGGTTCGCATTCTTCAGAGAGATTCAGGTGAACTATGATGCCCAGGCGGTGGATTGTCGTGCTCCAGACGCTCGATCCCTAGCTACGACATGATCACCCTTTACCTGTGTCTCTTCTTCTCCTTTCTTAATATGTTTCGCTGGGCAGAAACACATTCAGTGACAAGTGGGACCTCTCAGAGGATACTAATCGCAATGACTCCAACCCTATCTACCAAGAAAGACGGGAACCTCAACTACTCTTCGGGCGGGGCCTCCGTGCCGGAATCGATGTCAGGTATCCCACGGTTTCTTTCCACGCACGAATTATCTCCACGGTTTCTTTCCACTTTATGAAAAAAAGGGAACAGCGGAGGCAGAGCAACTTCTACGACGAGCTGTCCAAACGGAGAGCCCGTCAGTCAGGAGAACACATCTTCAAGGAAAGGGGACACTTCCTGGAATCACGCGACATTGAGGACGATTTATCACTCGTTGGTCTACAGGAGGAGTCGAGGAATATGTATCGGGCCGACAAGAAGCGGGAAGAAATGAACGACAGGCAAGTAAATAGCCAACGACAGGGTACACAAGCCGACTGGTCCATGCGGCTTGGTTTTCAGAGATTGGAAAATTTTCAGAGAGGAGCAGGGTATGTTCTGAAGCAAACTTCAGGGAGGCAGTGTCAAGCGGCCTTCTTTCTTCGTCTCTCAGGGATCATCATCAGAGGAGGGCGTGTGCCAGCACCGATGCGCACATGGGCAGAGTCTTTGTTGCCATGTGAGTTGCTGGAGGCGATTGGGAGGGTCAGCGCTATTGACTGTGTCCTCGCTGTCGAGCTACATTATGAAGTTCGCCTTCCTTCATAGATCGGCTACAAGAGCCCTACTCCCATTCAAATGCAAGCAATTCCAATCGCATTGGAGGTAGGGAGGAATAATCGCATCACGTTGCACATGGACCATTTTCTCTCTGCTGATGTTGTGTGAAGATGCGAGACCTGGTTGGGATTGCTAAAACTGGGTGAGACCGAAGAGGGAGCTACTACCTTGATCAGCTCACTCCTGTCTTTTACTTGTTTGTCAGTTCTGGCAAGACCGCAGCATTCGTTCTTCCGATGCTCACCTACGTAAAACAACTGCCTCTTCTCAACGACGAGACCTCACAAGACGGACCCTATGCGCTTGTCTTGGCGCCTTCGAGGTGACGGAAAAAAATCAAAGACGATTGAGTCGAGGCAACGATTTTTTGGCTGCTCCAGGGAGCTGGCGATTCAAATCAAAGAAGAGATCACACAATTCGCGTCATTTTGCAAATGTCGCAGTGTAGCTGTTGTTGGTGGAAGAAGTGCGGAGGCCCAGGCATTCCAGCTTCGCCGAGGATGCGAAATCGTTATTGGAACGCCCGGGCGGGTAGGCTGTCAACACACTGTGCTAATATATGGTGTCGTTTGGAGCTGCGGTGTTTCAGGTCAAGGATTGCGTGGAGAAATCTTACATAGTCTTGAATCAGTGCTCGTATGTGTGCCTGGATGAGGTACTCGCTGTGTACGAGTGGAAAGGTGTCCGACGCATTGAGGTCATCTTGTTGTCTTCTTTTCAGGCTGACAGGTACGGGACTTGACCGACTGGGACGTGCTCGACTTGGTTGTTCCTCTCTTAGGATGATAGATTTGGGATTTGAAGAGATCGTCAATTGGATTCTGGACCAGATCCCGCGCTCAAACTTCAAGTCCGAGAATGAAGATCAAGCCATGAAAGAGGAACTGGAGGCGAAGGCAGGGCACCGGAAGTATCGCACGACGTACATGTTCTCCGCAACGATGCCGCCGGCGGTAGAGCGCCTTGCAAGGTATTCTTCATGAAACTCCTCCTCATTTGCACAAATATCGCTTGTTCTGCTTCAGGAAGTACCTCCGTGCACCAGCTTATGTATCAATCGAAGACGCGGGCGCCGGAAAGCCCTCAATTGAGCAACGCCTTGAATTCATAGCGGAAGCCAAGAAAAGACAGGTCAGACTGCCGCAAAAAATCCGTGTGTCATCGTACTCATCGTGTCATCGTTTTCGACTGCAGCGATTGCAAGAGATTCTTGGAGAAACAGAGCCACCGATCATGGTTTTTGTCAATCAGAGGAAAGTGGCTGATGTGCTGGCAACATCACTGTGCAAGCTGAAATTCAAGTAGATACAGCTCAGCTCAGCAGTTGAATTACATTTCCGATTTGTCCATCGTTGCTCGCAGAGCGACATCGTTGCATGTCGGGAAGGCGCAAGAAATTCGCGAGGCAGCCCTGGGGGGATTCAAGGATAGAACCTTCGATGTCCTTGTCGCGACAGACGTCGCAGGTAAGGAGGAATTCTGTTGACTTGTCTGTTTATTGCTGATCCTTGCAACGCTTTGTTTGCAGGTCGCGGGATCCATATCGAAGTGTAAAGTCTCACTGATGGCGGCCGGTCTATCACCTCTGCTGTCGACTTCAGGTGTTCAACACGTGATCAACTTCGATATGCCCAAGACCATAGAAGGCTACATACACAGAATAGGTATATCTCAACTGCGGATGGTAGGAGAGTTCGTGTACGGTTCTCATTGGCCGAGCAGGACGTACTGCACGAGCTGGGAAGAAAGGCGTCGCCACTTCGTTTGTGACTGACGAAGACTCACACCTGCTTCGGGACCTCCGCATCCAGGCAAGAGGAAAGAACGCAAGTGGCTTGCCCGTGTAGCCGCGATTCCTTTTTGCTTGGTGTTTTTTCTCTCTCTCTCTCTTTTACAGCTTGTTTCGTCGAATAACGTCGTCCCAGGGATATTAAACGCAAAGCTCAAGTCTCAGGGCTGATCATGACAGAGGAGCGCGATCCCCGCAGTCACACGTAGGTAAGGTCTCATCAGAGGATGCATGCGATTTATACAATGCAGTCCGTCAATACGTGTTGTCTGTTTTTCAGGTCTCATGTGAGCCTCATGCGTAGGAGCGTGTGCGGCACGTTTTAGTTGATGTTAAGTCACTGAAGCTAGGCAGGACAGACACTCGTGTGCAGCGTATTAGGCGAGCGGATCAGTCGCAGTGATCCTTCCTCTGCCTGCTATTATTCCCCGTTAAATGCAAATGATTCACTCTCCGAGTCGCTGTCGAAATTGGGGAGCTGCGTAGATAGGCCACGATGGCCACAGTTGCGCCGTCTCTGAATGGCGGACCGACTGTTCCTGCAGGTGCCTACACAGGCCTCTCTCCTCAATCCAGACTTGTTCCGCCGCACGACAGCTCACGACGACAAGTGTCGTTATTCGGCGCCACTGGCACACTCGTCGCGCATATAAGTAGGTGGTTTTTCGCACAGTCAGTGAGGGAAGAACTGCACACATTCTGCTTCACTGATTCGTGTCTGCCCTTTTTGATTCATAGTTGGCGGCGGCGTGTTGGCGTTCCCCTATGCGTACTCCCAGGCCGGGATCGTGCTGGGAGGCGTCCTAACAGTCGTCGCAGGCATCCTGGCTGACCTCTCCCTCCAGCTGATTGTCCTCACTGCACGAGCTACTGGACAGGTCTTCCTTCTGTGACCGTCAGCTCGTGCAGTGCTCAGGTATGATGGACGCTCTTGTGTATCTCTGCTCGTGCAGATTGAGTATTACGATATCGCCGCGAAGCTGTATGGCCCTGTCGCGCGGATCATAGTGGCTGCGCTGGTGTGCTTGGCGAGCTTCCTCAACCTGTGTCTACTCACTATACTCATTGCTGACCTGTCAGCGCCCGTGCTCGAGTATGCCTTCGGCTCAGCCTGGACGGCACGAGGTGACTGGGGGCTGATTGAGGTGAAGGTGGTAGCCTGTGTGCTCGTCCTGCCGCTCCATCTGTGCACGTCCCTCCACGCACTGCGCTACCTGGCTATCGCAACGGCCAGCACCGCATTGATGCTTGCACTGATGGTGCTTATCAGGTAAATAAGACTGGGACGAATCCATGCGAGCTGAGCGCTTCGTGTGCGTTGTTTGCGTGCATGGCATGCAGGTCGAGTGAGTCGTTGGGCGCCCCATCGCACTCGGTAGCCATCGCTCACCAATGCGGGCTGTCTATCGTGCAGGCGCACACCGACAGGCTACTCTTTATCACAGAAAGATGGCAGGTTCGTTAACATGGGTGTCATGAAGCATTTTCGCAGAACATGGTTGCCTGCCTTCTGTGTGCTGTCCGCAGTCTCTGTTGTCGGCATTGCCCATATTTGTGTGTGCATACATGTAAGCTGATGTATGCGCACGTTGTGGATGCGTGCATGTGTGATGATTGTGTGTCTGTCAGGTGTCACACGAATGTGCTGCGGCTCCACGCAGAGTTCGTGAGTAAGGACAGATGAGCACGCACTCCAAAACACTGCTCCCCTATGACTCTTC